GCAAAGATGGGGCTGTAGGATTTAACAGGCCCGTGCTGCTCTGTGGAGACCCGCCTCCTGAGCTCACTCCTGACATCCCACCCACTCACAGACACAGGGTTCCTACACAGTGCTGCAAACAGCAGCAAAATATTGCAAATTAGTTCAAACATTTTCCAAACATTGGCAATTAGAAAATAAACTAAGGGAAATGCCAAATTTTCAAAGTTCCTTATTGCATTAAAACTGAATTTCTGAAAAAGTAGAATTTATATTCAAACTGTCCTTTACGACAACTTAAATGTTCTTAACACGTCAATCATTTTACGACTAAACACAATGAATTTATGGTTCATGGTTATTAAAGGTGCTTTTGCCATGAAGAATGCACTGAATGTCAGTAAGAATTCAAGCAGTCCACACAAATAGAGACAGGTTTAGAAATTGCAAATTTAAGTCACTCAATTGAATTTTTGCATTAACATTATTTTACACAAGAACTGACTAATGGTGGGCAGTGGTGCCAGAATAGTGGGGGTATTGGTGACTTTAAAGAACAGTAATGCTCTAAAAAGTAATTGTCTTCATTTACTGTATGCTCCATGGACAATAATCCACTGCTGAAGTGGGGATATGATGACGCTTGTGTAAGACTTACTTAGGAATTGGAAATATTAATAAAATTCTGGATGTTAAGACTGAAGTTCACCCTCTGAACACATCAGCCTAAAATCACCAAATCAACAGTGAAGTTTGAAGAGTATGAAATTGTGGCATGGGAGTGAATTCATATAAATAAAGGAAGTATGAATGGAGAAATTTATATCTGAAGATAAATTTCATAAATTGATGCAGAAATTTTCAAAAAGATGATGCCATATGCCTTAATGGAAACACGGGATTAGTCTATAATCATGAAAAGAAATAAAGCACTTATCATGGCTTCACCTGATCTGAATTAAACAGAAATATGAAAAAATGAACTGAAGATCAGGAGGGCATAGAAGAGAGCTGCAGATCCTTTTGGACCTGGAGCCATTTTGTATGGAAGTCTGGCTCAGAATCACACCCAAGCATTGACTACTGCTATTATTGCCATAAAAGGAAAAGCGTTTGTTATTAATGAAAATTTTTTTGTATGGATTGCTTGGGTTCTTGTTGCTATTTGGTGAGTACTTCATGCTTATAGTTCCTTTAGAACTACACATTTACTAAAGCAAAGGAGATTTAATATTTATTTCCCCTATTACATATTTGATATGCATCATGTCAACCTGGGTCTTTGTCCAAGTCTCATTGATGATTTTTATTTCTGAGTTGCAGAGAATCAGAATTTGTTGCTCTACAGGAACTGGACTAGTGCAGGATAACCTGGCGCAAATATTAGCAATAAAAAATGCTTTCACTCTACCAATGAATGGGAATTCAGTATTATGATGTTTGATGATTTGGTAAATTTGAGTTAAGGTGTTCTTCCCAAAACGGTCAGAAAAATCCGGATATCTGAAAACTCTGAAAAGTATAGCAAGTGTTTAAAAGTGTAGGAACCCTGCAGAAAACACCTATGGATTAAACCTCTCTGCCTTTCATCCTCCCACCTATTCATCACCTTCCAACTGGGCACAAATAGTGTCATTATTTCTTCTTACAGGTTTACGTGTGCAAAACGTCTCAGTGCAGGTGCACAAAGTGTAGGTTTTCATATTTAGCGTATGGTTCCAGGGAAAGAGAGGTCGTAGCAGGGGGTACATTTCCACAGGCACGTGTTTAGCTTTCATTTACAGACGGTGGAAATAGGAAGTTACAGACAGAATTAATGGCACAGGACAGAGACAAACAAATGCCAGAAAAGTACGACTGCATCAGGCCAAAAAGGCCAAATTAATAAATACTCTTTAAATGAAGCTCCATTAACAGTCTCTCTTTTTCATGTTTTCTCAGGTTTACTAGGAGCTCAGCTGCAGTTACTGTGCCAGCATGATTTGCCACATTAAACTGTATGAAGACTGTACAGAGTGTGCGGTTAAGGTTCAAACTGTTGTGTGACTCATTCTCACCTGAGCAGTAAAGCGAGATCTGAGTGGGCGTCAACATCCAAGGTCAGGAGCTTTTAAAATGGGGACCCTCCCACTGGCGTTTGAGCATTTTTAACGCAAACATGCATCAATCAACAATTCATCAGGAGAGAAAAACTAGGAAAAAATCAGACCCCAGTGAACCTTAATACATGACACTAAGAAAAGTCTGCAGGGGGAGTATTTTAGAGACAGGGTTTAAGTGGGGGAATGAAAGCTCCTCACTGAGAAACACTAAGGCATTTAAAGAGGCTTTGATAACTCTTTTGCATTCAGACATAAAACACTAATAAACTACACATTCCTCTCTTCCTCTATATCAACATTTAAATAGAGTAACACCTACAGTTCTGGTCAAGGGTTTACATAGGAATCGTCTGCATGGATCTCATTAAATTAATATAAAGTCAGTGTTTTTACTCTCATTTCCTAAACATTTTCCATGATTCCAAGTCTGAATTCATGTTGATATCCCCCTATAACACACATGGACAAAACATCCCTTAGTAAGTTACCCCTATATTACTGTATAAACAAAGGCTGTGTCTAAACATCCGGCCTAACCCCTCAATCTCTCAAACTCTATATAGAGCGGGGACTATATAGAGGACTTTATAGTGAACTAACTTAACTGTTTGTTCAGTCAGATGATCACTACTTTTCACTCCCCATTGGTCACGTAACTCTGCACGGTCTCTGTGCCATCTTTGTTATTAGTTGCCACAGTCAGGCTGCAACAGCAGGCTGTGACTGCAAATCCCATAAGGCTTTGCGAGGAGAGCTCTCATTCTGGGATATATTTGCTCGTCTAGTGATCATGGATGATTACTAATTTTCAATGCATTGTGGGAAAACTTGAGTCCACTACTTTTTCATCCACTAGATGTTCGGACACTAATCTTAAAATGGCATAGCCACTATATAGTGCCCTAAATAGTGGTTAGGGCGGACATTTTCACACAGCCAAAGTCCTGACATAATTCATGTTGGGTATTAGACCCTTTCTCTTTACAGAATCGGTATAATTTTGTTGTCAACTGTTTGTTTCCTTTTTATATAATGTGTAATTAAAGACGAACCGATGCGAAGACTGGAACAGGGCTGTAGCACTGAATAATGAAACTTAAAGGAAGAACTCGGAAAAAGGACACAGCAATTTAAATAAAAATGGGAAGAGACAGAGCAACACGGTAAACTGGGGTTTGAAATGAATGGAAACACTAAACAGATATGGATCATGGCAGTTTTCTGACTCAGACCAAGATCTTAGACTGCAATTAGTTTGTACTCCAAAGTTAGAATTCCCAACCTTCCAGAAGGAAATATGCTTTTAATTCATAGATAAAATCATTCTGATTTTCTAGTTCTGAGGGAAATGGTTAGCATAGACCGCACATTTTCAAAAGGCATGGATCATAAACTTTTTCTTAGGCTGCTTTGTCCAAAGTATTCTGATGTGTGTTTGGGATCATCTTCCTGTTGGAACATCCAACTTGTCCAAGAGTCAGCCATCTAGCTGTTGATCTTTGCTGATGGTAAACAATGTAATGATAATCCCCCTTCCTCACTGCAGCAAAACACAGCTGCTCAGCATGGTACATCCACTACTATTGCTTGACAGTAGGTACAATGTTCTTAGTTTTGAAAGAATTGCCTTGACTCCTTAAAATTATTCTTGTTCTTGATGCCATTAATTCAATCTTTGTCTTGTCTAACACAGAATAGGTTTCCCCTCCAAAGACATTTGAATGGGTCAGTTTTGGAGGTTGGTATGCTTTCAGTCCATGCTGATGTAAAATTTGTTATGCTGTGAGCAAGCAGCATTGGTTTAGCATCTTCAAGTATATGATAGGCTTAAGCTTTGGTGTTTCCAGTGTTTTTCTTGAAAGAAGTAGCCATTTTCTTTTAACGATGACACGTTTGGCAGGTAGGATCGCAGAGAACCAGGGAAACATGACATTGTGATGTTCTAGTTGAATATTCAATGATGGTATAAATCTCAACCAGCCAACATTTTCCTCCCAGCTAGTAGTCAGACTTTTGCTATTTCAGTGACAACTGAGATTATATGGTCTTGGTCTGGTAAAAAGGTTGAAACTTGGAATTTGATCCCAAACACCATCAAAAGTTTTTTTGGAAGAGTTGTATTAAAGGTATAGTGGATCATCTAAATAAGTGGTCCCCCTAATTGTCAATCATTCTGGTGATATGTTTACATAAGGCTGTTCTACATGATTGTCCCCTTTTTTACTGTCTGACATAGTGGAAAAATTGCAAATCTTCTTTTGGAAAGTAAGCTTGTATGAGCGATGCAAAGAGCAAAATTTTCTAACAGAGCGTACACGAGGAGAAATGGGCTTGTGCACGCTCTCGCACACATTTAACAGGCGTTCCCTCTTAGAAGCGGGTAAAGGGTTGTGCATGTGCATTTTCTTTTTTAAAAGTGGAGAGGGCGGGCTTTTTAAAAATTCATGAAAATCCTCCACTATACCTTTAAGCATTCTTAATAGGGCCCCTAAAACTGAGGACAGTGAGGAAGCCAAGTTCTTGGAAGAAAACAAACCAATTTAAATAATCTCACCAACTTTTCCAAAGAGAGAGTAGTCCATATCTAGGGAGAATTATGCCAGATCAACTTCAAACCAAATTTGAGATAGGATGTTCCAACATAGACCATGTGTGAGCAAGTGATGATCAGCAATGAATTCCAGCATCTCCAACACCACTGAGGTTGTATGCTGTGTAACGATGTAACTGTATAATGCCAAATTCAATATGACAATAAAAACCCATTGTGACGACACTTAAACTCATGACCTGAACTTTATAGGTCTATCTTTTAGTATATTTCTCCATCACAACACTGGATCTTGTCTGCTGCAACACAGAAACGGTAACGAAACAGCCGTGCTAGCTCAAATATCACCCCTGGTCCCCCCACCCCCACCCCAAATTACGCTCATTTGACCAATGATCCTTGCGAGGGCTTTTTACACAAACGCACATATGCACACACACAAACACACACAAACCAGGCAGAACGATAGCGGTCAGGTGGCCCTAAGAACACACTATGGCCGGTTAAGTTTCTGTATATCGATAGTGTATCATAGCTCTATACATGGTATGGTAAAGGAACCGTATAGTAATCCCCGTGTGACGGCAGAAGGGAGGCTCTGGAGGGGGAAGGACATCAAGGGGAGCCGATCAGATTGAGGGCTCAGTGTAAAGCTAGTTCTACAGCGTCACTCAACAGATTCAGTCCTCCTTAGCATCCAAAGCCTCAAACATGGCTGCTTTTAAAGGTACTATACAGTAGCTTCACACTTATACAGCCAAAACAAAGTGCATAAAGGCACTATGAAACAGAGTGGCTCCTAAACACAGGAGCCTCAAATAATAGGAGTCATTATAAAATAAAACCCATACATTGCAATGGTTAGAGGACAAGTGACTACTACTGTACGTGATCACCAAATTTAGTGGCCCCTTCTAAACTACTGGTGGAAAATAACAATTAGCCCCTAACCCTCAGCAGTGGATGGTTTTTAAAGATTGAACAGTGTCAGTCAAAGGTAAATTAAACATGACAGACCCCTCTGAAAGAAAGGCTTGGATTTTGACACGAGTAAACCACATACACACAACAATTGTGATTTGGAGAATTGATGAAGTACTTCTACTGTAAGAGGTGAGTTTTTTTTTTTTATAACTATTTTTTTCGAGGTCAGAATGGTTCGATTGATCATAAAAGAGAGTAATACCACACAACATCAACAATGTTCTTGTAGCAACCGAACGCTGATCCAGATTTTACAGCTTAGGGCTTACGAGCCAGAATTCACAAAGCACTGATAAACCATCATAAAAACACTTCAAGAAAAATTTGGTATTACATTTTCTAGAGACAATCACACTCCTTATCTGACATCCTTTTTCATCCATTTTTTAAGCCACTCTGTTAATTAGAGCTGCACAAAATGAATCATAATTCAGCTGCTGTGGATCTAAATTCAGTTTCCTCTTTGTGTTTTTGGCTACAAAAATAAGACCACAGGAAAGGATATCTCATTTTGGCAAATAGATATAGCGCATTTTAGGTTAACACTTAGCTTCCTTTTCAAATGAAAATCCTAAGCATACAGCATGTTTGGAATACTCATCACTTCAGCAGGTAATATTTGACATTGTGAATACTTATTGACTTTTTTTTTTTTTTGTCTTATCTATTGTGGTACAGCTGGCTGGAGGGTCCACAGCCTTACGAGAGGCAGATGGTGAGACTTTGAGATGAAGGCGAAGAAGAAGTCCGGCCCTGGGAGGGCAGTCTGTCAGGATCTCGCCCTTATCTAGATGATGGTAGTATTTGGATTAGACAGGGATTTATTTTTCTCTATTCTGGGGTGCCTCCATGGTCTTGTGCCAGCAGCTTGGCTTGCAGATGCAGATTATAAGTGGGCTGAGGACAAAAACATCCAGCGTCTAAACTGGGTGGCGCTGCACTTGGGGTTTCCAGCTAACTGTGAAAGGAAGTCCCATAATTAACTATAACTAAAACAAAAGCAGGGTGCAGGTAAGTAGAAGAAGAGTTGGGAGGAATCAAGTGATTTTTAAGGAAGGGGGAGGGGAGGGGGGGTGAATAGAGCTGCAGTAAAATGAAGTTAATGTAAGAGAGAGTGATTGTGGGGGCTGAGAGCTTGATAAAGCAGGAGCAGCTGAATGAGCAGTAGTGTGTAGAGAGGAGGACCCAAGGAGTGACCTCTTCCACAGTCTGATGTGTTCTCCTGCAAAACAGCACAAACAGATATCAGAGTGGGGCATCTTTTGTATTGCAAAATACTAAATTTGAATGAGAAACAGTTCATGATTCTAGCCTGAGTATCTGCTTTCTTTAGTGACCTTATTTCTACCTAATTCATTGTAGTCATCCAAAAAATATAGCTCTCCCTGCCCTTTGAACCTGCAGATTTGAGACTTGAGTCAACAGTTCTGTTAATTACTTTCAAGGTGATATTTTTGGAATGTGTTTGGGCAAAGTACTGTTGTATAGTTCTTGCTGTAACCAAGTTGGTGATTTAATTATAAATCAAGTAAAACTGTGAGCAAACAAGTTTAAAAATACTCTGCAAAGAGAAACTGCCCAGAGGGCATTTAATTGACACAACAGTGACAGTTTGAACTCCATAAATGAAGAGTTCAATTGTCTGTACCTTAAATATTTTAATATATGTGAAGAAATTTAGCTCATTCCTCCATTACTGGCATCCAGACAAAAAAAAAAATGTTATTTAGAAACACCTTTTGTGTGGCTAACACAAACTTAAGTCAAAGAAAGCTTTATCAAAATATTTTCAGTGTGACATTTCATTACTGAAACCAAGATGTACCTAGACTTCTAATAACCAATCGAGCCAAATAATAGAAACTACAGCTGTTGGTGCATAAAGCCTGGTTTATGCTTGACATCTCGGCGAGGACTGATGAAAAACATGATGACCATTAGTTCCTACTGATGAGGGTTCACAAATATAAACCTCTAGAGACCTCTTATGATTTGTCCCTTAAATGTAAGTATAATCAACAGATTATAAAAATAATAATAATATAATATTAATTGAATTCACACTGGAGAATTTTACCTCTGCATTTAACCAATCCCCTTGAGGAGCAGTGGGCTGCCATCGTGGGGCGCCCGAGGAGCTATCAAGGGTTAAGGGTCTTGCTCAGAGACCCAGAGTGGCAGTTTGTAGGTGTGGGGCTTGTACTCAGACTCAAGGGCGTAGGTTTGATTTGAAATTTGGTAGTGACACTATTGGTCAGGTGTCATTGGTGCTATGCTATACGCATGCCCTTTTTTATGCTTTATGTTTATCAATGTTTGAAGTATCACTGGCTGTGATGAATGTGGAATTAGGACTGTTTTCCACTTTGAAAATGGTTTCATTTGAACGACTAAGAGAGAAGGTAAATACAGTATTTTCTTTGAAGATATAGAATTGTGCAGAGTTAAACCACACTCATATTATTATCTACTATGCTCTCTCTGTATCAAGCAAAATAATACATTCATAAAAATATTAACTTCACTATAAAAGTTGAACATCTGGGCTGTAGTTACTCTGTGTAGCCCATTTCATGTATTTTATCTGGGGCTGAAAAAATGAATCATATTAATTGATTATTTGAATAATAATAATTATTTCAACTAATATAGTAAGTGATTCATCATTAACTGGAGAATAGAGACTCTAAAACATAATATAAATGTAAAATGTGCCTTTCCCCTGTAGAGCAATCAACCTAGATCAGTAATTAGACCAAAGTTGTGAAAATACAATATATATATATATATATATATATATATATATA